AGTGTTCCAGGTTAACCGAGGCGCGCACCGGCGCCCACCCCATTCATTCACTCGCTCGAGTCCCGCGGAGAAGCTTTACCTCGCGCACACGAGTTGTCCAAAAAAAAAAATAAAGTTCGGAGTTTGGGTTCGGAAATTTTATGGGAGCTTCCTAGAAGCCTAAGAAGTGTTTTGCTCGAGACGGGATTTCGATTCGGTGGTCCCCCGAGTTAATTTTGCCCATTATGACTCCGCGCACCGCACGCTCAAGCACCCCGACGTGCACACCGGCTGCGCACAGTGGGCACCGTATGCTAAAAAATGAAGTTCGGAGTTGGGTTCGGAAATTTTATGGGAGCTTCCTAGAAGCCTAAGAAGTGTTTTGCTCGAGACGGATTTCGATTGGAGGTCCCCCGAGTAATTTTGCCCATTACGACTCCTCGCCCGCACGCTCGTGCACCCCGGCGTGCACGTGGGCATTGTATGCTAAAAAAATGAAGTGTGGAGTTTGGGTTCGGAAATTTTATGTGAGCTTCTAGAAGCCTAATGAAATGCTTTGCTCGAGACGGATTTTGATTTGGAGTCCCACGAGTTAGTTTTGGCCCATTATGACTCTCGCCCGCGACGCTCAAGCACCCCCCGGCGTGCACGTGGTCATCGGTTATGCAAAAAAATGAAGTTTGGAGTTTGGTTTGAAAATTTATGCGAGCTTCCTAGAAGCCTAAGAAATGCTTTGCTCGAGACGAATTTCGATTTGGAGGTCCCCCGAGTTAATTTTGCCCATTATGACTCCTCGTCCGCACGCTCGTGCACCCCGACGTGCACGTGGCATCGTATGCTAAAAAATGAAGTTTGGAGTTTGGGTTTGAAAATTTTATGGAGCTTCCTAGAAGACTAGAAATGCTTTGCTCGAGACGGATTTCGATTTGGAGGTCCCCCGAGTTATTTTTGCCCATTATGACTCCTTCGCCCCGCACGCTCGTGCACACCGGCGTGCACGTGGGCATCGTATGCTAAAAAATGAAGTTTGGAGTTTGGGTTTGAAAATTTTATGGAGCTTCCTAGAAGACTAAGAAGTGCTTTGCTCGAGAACGGATTTCGATTTGGAGGTCCGCCGTGTTAATTTTGCCAATTACGGCTCCTCGCCTCGCACGCTCAAGCACCCCGACGTGCACACCGGCGCGCACGTGGGCATCGTATGCTAAAAAATGAAGTTTGGAGTTTGGTTTGAAAATTTACGGGAACTTCTAGAAGGCCTTAGAAATGCTTTGCTCGACGACGGATTTCGATTTGGAGGTCCCCCGAGTTAATTTTGCCCATTACGACTCCTCGCCCGCACGCTCGTGCACCCCGGCGTGCACGTGGGCATCGTATGCTAAAAATGAAGTGTGGAGTTTGGGTTCGGAAATTTTATGGGAGCTTCCTAGAAGCCTAAGAAATGCTTTGCTCGAGACGGATTTTGATTTGGAGGTCCCACGAGTTAGTTTTGGCCCATTATGACTCCTCCGCCCGCACGCTCAAGCACCCCCGGCGTGCACGTGGTCATCGTATGCTAAAAAATGAAGTTTGGAGTTTGGGTTTGAAAATTTTATGCGAGCTTCCTAGAAGCCTAAGAAATGCTTTGCTCGAGACGAATTTCGATTTGGAGGTCCCCGAGTTAATTTTGCCCATTATGACTCCTCGTCCGCACGCTCGTGCACCCCGACGTGCACGTGGGCTTCGTATGCTAAAAAAATGAAGTTTGGAGTTTGGGTTTGAAAATTTTATGGGAGCTTCCTAGAAGACTAAGAAATGCTTTGCTCGAGACGGATTTCGATTGGAGGTCCCCCCGAGTTAATTTTGCCCATTATGACTCCTCGCCCGCACGCTCGTGCACCCGGACGTGCACGTGGGCATCGTATGCTAAAAAAATGAAGTTTGGAGTTTGGGTTTGAAAATTTTATGGGAGCTTCCTAGAAGACTAAGAAGTGCTTTGCTCGAGACGATTTCGATTTGGAGGTCCCCCGGGTTAATTTTACCCATTATGACTCCTCGCCCGCACGCTCGTTGCACCCCGACGTGCACGTGGGCATGGTATGCTAAAATTGAAGTTTGGAGTTTGGGTTTGAAATTTTATGGGAGCTTCCTAGAAGCCTAAGAAATGCTTTGCTCGAGACGGATTTCGATTTGGAGGTCCCCCGAGTTAAGTTTGCCCTTTATGACTCCTCGCCCGCATGCTCGTGCACACCGCGTGCACGTGGGCATCGTATGCTAAAAAATGAAGTTTGGAGTTTGGGTTCTGAAATCTTATGGGAGCTTCCTAGAAGCCTAAGAATTGCTTTGCTCGAGACGGATTTCGATTTAGATTTCCGCCGTGTTAATTTTGCCAATTACGCGCGCACGCTCAAGCACCCCGACGTGCACACCGGCGCGCACGTGGGCATCGTATGCTAAAAAATGAAGTTTGGAGTTTGGGTTTGAAAATTTTACGGGAACTTCCTAGAAGCCTAAGAAATGCTTTGCTCGAGACGGATTTCGATTTGGAGGTCCCCCGAGTTAATTTTGCCCATTACGACTCCTCGCCCGCATGCTCGTGCACACCGGCGTGCACGTGGGCATCGTATGCTAAAAAATGAAGTTTGGAGTTTGGGTTTGAAAATTTTATGGGAGCTTCCTAGAAGACTAAGAAGTGCTTTGCTCGAGACGGATTTCGATTTAGATTTCCGCCGTGTTAATTTTGCCAATTACGGCTCCTCGCGCGCACGCTCAAGCACCCCGACGTGCACACCGGCGCGCACGTGGGCATCGTATGCTAAAAAATGAAGTTTGGAGTTTGGGTTTGAAAATTTTACGGGAACTTCCTAGAAGCCTAAGAAATGCTTTGCTCGAGACGGATTTCGATTTGGAGGTCCCCCGAGTTAATTTTGCCCATTACGACTCCTCGCCCGCACGCTCGTGCACCCCGGCGTGCACGTGGGCATCGTATGCTAAAAAATGAAGTTTGGAGTTTGGGTTCGGAAATTTTATGGGAGCTTCCTAGAAGCCTAAGAAATGCTTTGCTCGAGACGGATTTTGATTTGGAGATCCCACGAGTTAGTTTTTGCCCATTATGACTCCTCGCCCGCACGCTCAAGC